AGCAGCAATCACTTGCGCCAACTTCATCGTTTTGTTTCACTATCAGACAAGGAATTTTCTTTTTTGGATGGCCATGTTTAAGCCTTATTTCGCCGCAAACTGATTGCTGCTGTTATATATACTGCTGTGTCTGCGCCAAATGAACAGTTGGAAGTCTGCGCTCCGTGTGTCGTACTCGTTTCTACCTCTGTCCTCGTCGTTTGCGCAGTTCATTTATTTCTACAAATCATGAACCAACTGGCCCGCCAAAGGGTGTTACTTGAAGCTATTTCTTCTACATCGGGCTCTTTTTTCTGTTCCAAGACAAAGCAGGAAGCAGCAATCACTTGCGCCAACTTCATCGTTTTGTTTCACTATCAGACAAGGAATTTTCTTTTTTGGGTGGCCATGTTTAAGCCTTATTTCGCCGCAAACTGATTGCTGCTGTTATATATACTGCTGTGTCTGCGCCAAATGAACAGTTGGAAGTCTGCGCTCCGTGTGTCGTACTCGTTTCTACCTCTGTCCTCGTCGTTTGCGCAGTTCATTTATTTCTACAAATCATGAACCAACTGGCCCGCCAAAGGGTGTTACTTGAAGCTATTTCTTCTACATCGGGCTCTTTTTTCTGTTCCAAGACAAAGCAGGAAGCAGCAATCACTTGCGCCAACTTCATCGTTTTGTTTCACTATCAGACAAGGAATTTTCTTTTTTGGATGGCCATGTTTAAGCCTTATTTCGCCGCAAACTGATTGCTGCTGTTATATATACTGCTGTGTCTGCGCCAAATGAACAGTTGGAAGTCTGCGCTCCGTGTGTCGTACTCGTTTCTACCTCTGTCCTCGTCGTTTGCGCAGTTCATTTATTTCTACAAATCATGAACCAACTGGCCCGCCAAAGGGTGTTACTTGAAGCTATTTCTTCTACATCGGGCTCTTTTTTCTGTTCCAAGACAAAGCAGGAAGCAGCAATCACTTGCGCCAACTTCATCGTTTTGTTTCACTATCAGACAAGGAATTTTCTTTTTTGGGTGGCCATGTTTAAGCCTTATTTCGCCGCAAACTGGTTGCTGCTGTTATATATACTGATGTGTCTGCGCCAAATGAACAGTTGGAAGTCTGCGCTCCGTGTGTCGTACTCGTTTCTACCTCTGTCCTCGTCGTTTGCGCAGTTCATTTATTTCTACAAATCATGAACCAACTGGCCCGCCAAAGGGTGTTACTTGAAGCTATTTCTTCTACATCGGGCTCTTTTTTCTGTTCCAAGACAAAGCAGGAAGCAGCAATCACTTGCGCCAACTTCATCGTTTTGTTTCACTATCAGACAAGGAATTTTCTTTTTTGGATGGCCATGTTTAAGCCTTATTTCGCCGCAAACTGGTTGCTGCTGTTATATATACTGCTGTGTCTGCGCCAAATGAACAGTTGGAAGTCTGCGCTCCGTGTGTCGTACTCGTTTCTACCTCTGTCCTCGTCGTTTGCGCAGTTCATTTATTTCTACAAATCATGAACCAACTGGCCCGCCAAAGGGTGTTACTTGAAGCTATTTCTTCTACATCGGGCTCTTTTTTCTGTTCCAAGACAAAGCAGGAAGCAGCAATCACTTGCGCCAACTTCATCGTTTTGTTTCACTATCAGACAAGGAATTTTCTTTTTTGGGTGGCCATGTTTAAGCCTTATTTCGCCGCAAACTGATTGCTGCTGTTATATATACTGCTGTGTCTGCGCCAAATGAACAGTTGGAAGTCTGCGCTCCGTGTGTCGTACTCGTTTCTACCTCTGTCCTCGTCGTTTGCGCAGTTCATTTATTTCTACAAATCATGAACCAACTGGCCCGCCAAAGGGTGTTACTTGAAGCTATTTCTTCTACATCGGGCTCTTTTTTCTGTTCCAAGACAAAGCAGGAAGCAGCAATCACTTGCGCCAACTTCATCGTTTTGTTTCACTATCAGACAAGGAATTTTCTTTTTTGGATGGCCATGTTTAAGCCTTATTTCGCCGCAAACTGATTGCTGCTGTTATATATACTGCTGTGTCTGCGCCAAATGAACAGTTGGAAGTCTGCGCTCCGTGTGTCGTACTCGTTTCTACCTCTGTCCTCGTCGTTTGCGCAGTTCATTTATTTCTACAAATCATGAACCAACTGGCCCGCCAAAGGGTGTTACTTGAAGCTATTTCTTCTACATCGGGCTCTTTTTTCTGTTCCAAGACAAAGCAGGAAGCAGCAATCACTTGCGCCAACTTCATCGTTTTGTTTCACTATCAGACAAGGAATTTTCTTTTTTGGGTGGCCATGTTTAAGCCTTATTTCGCCGCAAACTGATTGCTGCTGTTATATATACTGCTGTGTCTGCGCCAAATGAACAGTTGGAAGTCTGCGCTCCGTGTGTCGTACTCGTTTCTACCTCTGTCCTCGTCGTTTGCGCAGTTCATTTATTTCTACAAATCATGAACCAACTGGCCCGCCAAAGGGTGTTACTTGAAGCTATTTCTTCTACATCGGGCTCTTTTTTATGTTCCAAGACAAAGCAGGAAGCAGCAATCACTTGCGCCAACTTCATCGTTTTGTTTCACTATCAGACAAGGAATTTTCTTTTTTGGGTGGCCATGTTTAAGCCTTATTTCGCCGCAAACTGATTGCTGCTGTTATATATACTGCTGTGTCTGCGCCAAATGAACAGTTGGAAGTCTGCGCTCCGTGTGTCGTACTCGTTTCTACCTCTGTCCTCGTCGTTTGCGCAGTTCATTTATTTCTACAAATCATGAACCAACTGGCCCGCCAAAGGGTGTTACTTGAAGCTATTTCTTCTACATCGGGCTCTTTTTTATGTTCCAAGACAAAGCAGGAAGCAGCAATCACTTGCGCCAACTTCATCGTTTTGTTTCACTATCAGACAAGGAATTTTCTTTTTTGGATGGCCATGTTTAAGCCTTATTTCGCCGCAAACTGAATGCTGCTGTTATATATACTGCTGTGTCTGCGCCAAATGAACAGTTGGAAGTCTGCGCTCCGTGTGTCGTACTCGTTTCTACCTCTGTCCTCGTCGTTTGCGCAGTTCATTTATTTCTACAAATCATGAACCAACTGGCCCGCCAAAGGGTGTTACTTGAAGCTATTTCTTCTACATCGGGCTCTTTTTTATGTTCCAAGACAAAGCAGGAAGCAGCAATCACTTGCGCCAACTTCATCGTTTTGTTTCACTATCAGACAAGGAATTTTCTTTTTTGGATGGCCATGTTTAAGCCTTATTTCGCCGCAAACTGAATGCTGCTGTTATATATACTGCTGTGTCTGCGCCAAATGAACAGTTGGAAGTCTGCGCTCCGTGTGTCGTACTCGTTTCTACCTCTGTCCTCGTCGTTTGCGCAGTTCATTTATTTCTACAAATCATGAACCAACTAGCCCGCCAAAAGGTGTTACTCGCTCTAACCTCTCGACCACAGAATAAGGCGCGAGCCACCGGCGCTGGCGGAGGTATATAAATATATTGCCACCGCTTTTATATCGCCTGTTTATTTTCTTTCTTTTGGCTCATATTTACCCTTCCTGGCCGTAACTTTACCTGCCGCTCCTACAGTATAAAGGGGCGGGCAATGGGACTCCAGTTGAAAGTCCCTCCACAGTCAATTTCTGCGAGCGAAATTAGGCTTTTGTGCTTGAAGCGATACGGACTTCTCCGCCATTCGGCAGGGACGCTAGGTACTTCCTTGTCCCCGTGGAGCTGGTCACGTGACCGAAAAATCCCTCTTGGCCGCAGCCGCAGCCGCGGCCGCAAGATGAGCAAACCGCCCCAGGTGTATAGCTGTCCGGCGTGAGGTATATTCATTGGGGGCCATATTCATTGGGGGCTGTTCACTGTGCAGCTCAGAACGAGCTGTCACCTATGGGCTGCTAGGCAATCTTCCTGCTGTGGAATGCAGGTTGCAAAAGATCCTGTGGAAGGTCGCCGTCAGCGCTCAATGAGCAGCCGCAGACTCAGCTAGGGCTATTCCGAGCGGAGCTTCGATCTGGGTTTCGGAGTCCACGGCCTTCCGAAATATTTTTGACAAATGGCGTCGACTCGCACCTTCCTCAATTCGGGAGCTTTTGGGGAACTGGGGAAAACGCACGTCCCGGTTGCTCCGCGCGTTGTTTGCGCAACCCCCAGGAAGGTGTGCTCGGACTCGCACAACGATGCCGGTCCCTCGGGCTCCTTGAACTTGGGCACCACGACGCGCTTGAGCGAGCGAGGAGTCAAATCATCTTGGTGCGCCATCGCCGGGGACATACGTCGGCCGTTAAGGCACCACGTAACAAGCAGAAATCGTCCGCTGGGACGGCTCAAAACGCGTCAGAAAAACATGGCAAAAGAATGTGCGAACATGGAACCTCTTTGAGTTCGAACATGACATCGGAGGTTGCTCGACAAACAGCCAATCTGTTGAATGACCGCTGGAAACCTGGTGGAAGCATTTTAATATCGCTTGTAGAGTAGATCGCGGTTTCCCATTTGAGTACAGTTTTGGCAGTTCGTCTTCGCGTAAATAGATAGCAGTCATTTATTTTGCTTCGACTTCTGACCGGAGTCCCCCTTTAATTTCACTTTATAACTATATCGAAAATATCGTAGATTCGGGCCTCGCTACGTGGTCGGATTGTTTGGGCAGACTTAAGCGATTGTTTTTTTGTTTTTTTTTTTTTTAACTTTCGGTTATTGCCTTAAACTACGTACTATTTGATCTCTGTATCCAACACTGGCGGTACAAACTATCTTCTGCTGGCGATTGGGTAAGCTTCGTTGAGTGCGCTTCTCACCGCGTGCTGGCCTACTGCTGCGAAGCTTGGAACGGCGGCATGGCGATGTGGCGTATCCGGCTTCGCCGCAGCGCACCCACGGGTAAGGGAAACGCACTGCTCCAGAGACGGACGTTTCGCGACGAATATGAAAAATAAAAGGCGTTTAGCGAGTGTTGCTAGCAGTGGTTGCAGGCAGCCAATGGTCGGGAGGCGCGAGCTAACCGTTGCTGACTGTTGGGCGTCAGATTCCGTCGCAGTTGCTGAGCCAGGTCCGGATGGCGTACCGGATGGAGCTGGACAAGAAGCAGCTCAAGGAGAACAAGGCACGTATCCCCCCGCTTGTCCGCCGCCCAGGCTGGGACGGGCCTAGTCACCTGACACGGTCCCAGTACGCTCCCAGAAGGCCATCCAAGCAGAGGCCATACTCGGGGCGGCGCCATTCCGTTGGATTTCCCCGAACTGGGTAGCTTAGAAGAGGGTACGCGCCCGATCCCGGACGACAAGCCGTATCTTCCAAAGCGCAGATTTCGAAAAAGTTACGATGCTCGCTATAACTAGCTTCTTCATCTCTTCCGAGTCGACAAGTTTTCCATTTGTATACCTAAGGGTAGAGTTTCGTTAGCAAAATTCCCGGGCATAATTGAAAGCCACTAAATCGGCGCACTTTATATAAATATGGGGCATGCGCAGCATTTTACCCTGTTCCGGAAAAAAGCTCAATTGTGACGCTTTTTGGAGTTTCCTATCGGAGCGCATGTGTTCGCTCCGGTCCCGCGGTCCTACCCCCCGTGCCCAAAGCGCGCAACCAAAGTACGCGCATTCTTCGCGTGACGGAGGTTCTTCTCGCAATGTCGCTGGAGCAGCGCAGCGTTTTTTTTTTCGCCGGTTCGCGCATCCTTCTCTCCTACGAGAGAGCCGGTGGTGGCACGTTTGGGCCACGGGAACCGCCAACACCACCTAGACAGAAGGCCTCCGCATGGTTTCCTCTTCTTCTATGAAACGTCATCACAGTCGGATTGCGCTCGGTCGGCTATTGGACCCGAGCCCGACCTTCGACGCGCTGATTGGCCACGAGCCGCAGCCGAACACTGACGCAGCACTCGTGCCCAATCTCTCGCCTCGATCGATCTGACTATGATGACGCGTGTGTCTAGGTGGTGTTGGAACCGCTGGCCCCGAAACGCGCTCCGATAGGACACCGAAAATGCGTCCAAATCGCGTGTTGCTTTTTTTTTTTTCTTCTTTTTGGAACACCGTGAAATATTGCGGGTGCCTCGTGAGCGGCGCCGACTGGGTATGATGACCAAAAAGTGTCTTATTGAAACTTTTTAATTTACAAATTAAAAGTGTAATCGCTTAAAAGTAGTAAAACACCTCATTATACCGAACGTTATTAAAAGGGCGATGCAACGATTTTTCTGTTTTGCGTAAATACCACTTACAACGAATCCCTGACGTTAATGATCTGTTAAATACACGTTCGTTTTTCACCACACGCGATCGAAGTCGCAGAAAAAAATAAAATAAAGAAAAACGAGCAGAGTTCACCCCCTCAACTCGCAGCCAGAACAAGCGGCCCCGTGATCTGGAGCCGATTATATGGCGCCAATGTTGATCATAGCCTCGCGCTGGGGTTGGCAAGGCACAGGACACGCGCTGAGTTCCAGACATTCTTATGGCTCGGCTGTTGTCGTCATTGCAGCGATTGGACACAGGACACTCCCCGAATGCGTCTCGAGCTATCGATTATCATGAGCCCATATCGAGTGTCCACGCCATGCTCGGGTCCAATCTCTGAGCCGCATTCAAATATCGTCACTGGGCGGTACTGCCACCGCCCAGCTACGTCATCAGGTTTTGCGAAGGCGAGATTGAATGAAAACACTCGGTTTTGTCCTCGAAATTACTGCGCAACACAAGAGTTTCTTGTTCAATGGCGTTGCGTGCGAATATCCTTGAGTCCCACTTGTGCCCGTAAGCTCGTCTAAAGTAAAAAACATTCCAATTGAATATCGTTGCGTAGGCCCTTGGGCAGAGATCAATATTACGTCAGCTTTTTCTCTGCGCGATGCGTGCTTTTCGCAGGAGCGATATGGGCCTTCGTGAAACAGCCTGTACAACTTGCGGACTCGCCCGCTCGATTGTATCTTTTGCGCACGTGACTGCGCACAATTTTCTGCTGCGCCATAATGAAATTTGCCATGCTTTGTGGCGACTCTTCCCGCAGAAGAAGAAGAGGAAAGAGCGGCCCTCCTGGTTCGCGGCCCGAGACGCCGGCGACGTGAGTTCTGCCGCTGGCTAAGGGCCGCCAGCTCGGCCTTTCTCACTGCAGGGACCAGCTGTTGAAGCGATGGGCCTCTCTTTTGCCCGAGGGACGTCTGCTCTCCCAGACGACCTCAGCCGAGGCTACGGCGGAACTCCTTTCCTCATTTCTCCTCGGAGCCAGGGGTGAAGGTCGGGAGAGGAGGAAACAAAATTAAAGACGTTTCTAAATCCTTCTAATGCGGAATAGAGCGCAGCTCTTGAGAAGGAGGAGGGGATAGCCCTCCTCCTCTCCTTGTCTGTTTCCTTGCTGCGCCCCCTCCCATCCTCCGTACCCTCCCCTCCTCCCACAGTTTCCCCGCTAAATTTAGCTGAAAAATTGACGTCACGTGACCTCAGCACCGATTCAGTTTCTCTGCTAAATTTAGCGGGGAAAGTGACGTCACATGGGAACTCGATGTCACATCACTCGTGAGCAAATTTAGTTTCTCCGCCGGAGTTAGTGGGAAATGGACCTCAGGTGACCTCAACACCAATTCTCCACTAAAAGATTTAGCGGGAAAGTTGACGTCACGTGATGTCAACATCATGTCAATTCCCCGCTACATTTAGTGTGGAATTGAATCGGTGTTGAGGTCACGTGACGTCAATTTTCCCGCTAAATCTGGCGCGGTTACGCCGACGCCGCGAAACCCGGAAACGGGCGCCTAAGAGTAGCAGACAACAGCGAGAGCGTTGCAAGAAGGAAGGCGCCGTAGGCGGTGGGTCCAAAGGAAGGTGATGCAGGCGGACGTGGTGCGGGTGCGGGTGGAGCACGACTCGGAGCAGGCGGCCACGTACCCGGTCAAGCTGAGCGACGCCACGACTGCCGGCAGCGTCGTGGGCGAGCTCTTCCTCGCCATGCACTTCGAGGCCCGCAAGAAGGACATCGTCAACGCAGGGTACGCTCCTTCCATTGCCCGCCATCTTCAGCCATTCGCCGAGCGTCAGCGCTGTCCCAACGCGCGGGAGAGGAGACGCATTTCAGAGAGGTGGCGAAAGTTGGCTGAAGGCCTTGGAAATCTGTGCGCGAAAAAGAACGGGTCTTGGCCCCGAGCGAACCTTGGCGAGCCTCTTCGAGCGTCACTCCGAGAGGGCACAAGGGCTGCGTTCTGCCACAACTCGCCTTGTGCCCCGTGTTGTTTAGGCGACAAGGCTTTCTTATCTGGGAGCTGTTGGCAGAGTCGCGGGACGTTCCGAGCCAGGCGAGTGCGTGGCCGGCTCCGTGGCTTGCCGCTCACCCCCTAGCCTGATCGAGCGCTCTTGTCCGGCTCCAGGAGGCCTTCGTCGGAGCAGTCCAGGGCCCACCCGGACGACACCTTGGCGACGTTCCTGCAGCACCACTGGCTTTACGAGGTCGGCGGATACATCGGTGAGTCCGGTCGTCTCCCACTTCTTTTTTTTTTAATATTTACACCGTTTGGCGTAATTTCGTGGGGATAGCCGTGCTTTAGGCCCCGCCCTGTGCGTGCAGAACCAAGAACCTTTGCTAGGCTCTCGCTGGTTGGAGATGATTGAGGTGTGACACGTTGGCTGTAAAATTGTCTCTCTGCGCCGTAATAGTATTTAATCGACCGCATTTTTATGTTTGAGAAACAAATAGTCTAGATAGAGTCATTATCGTTTCCGAAAATTTCCCGAGGTTGCCTTTCCGCTTCGGTTTCAAACGATAACAAACGTGGCTGCCGGCACCTGCGGAGTGGTCCACGAGAGCAGCTCGTCGAGCTCGTCTGTTTTATTGAGTGCGAGTCGTTCTGCGTCCACCGAGGTGCCCAGACGAAAATCTCCCCAACCGATCTAGTTTTGCAGACACCAACTGTCGCAAGTGCACGCCTTCGGAAACGCTGTTGGCGCAGTGCGGGTGCTTGAGTTCAAAGCGGGCAGAATCGGGACTGGCCGAAGCCTAGCGTCGACCTAAACTTCGTTGTTTGATCTGACTTGATTTGCTCCTTTGAGTGTGTTTGATGCTAAATCAAGATATTGGTTTCCGTAAAAGCGACACCGCTGCTTTCTGATTTGTGCGACCGTTCTGATTCAAACCATGGTTTCAATACCGAGAAGATGCCTACGCAGGAAAGAATTTGCGAATGATTTGGATGGATGCAATCGGGCGTTCGGCTCGCATCAATTTTGTCCAGGTTTGTTTCCGTCAGTTTGCTTCGAAAGTAAAGTAACCCTATATTTTGCGTTGCACCTGGCCTGCCAATACGAAAACTTTTAGTTGAGCGTCTTGATGCTCACCCACCTTGCTGGCAGATGCCATGCGAAACAACTAACCAGAACAGGAAAGTTAGAAAGACTGCATTTTTTTTTAGTACTCTGGGGTCGCTTTGTATTGCACATCGACAGACGCTTGTATTGGACCGCGGCTCGTGCATGATGGAACGCTAGAAGGCCGCCTTCATGGTCGCGTCTTGCGAGCGTTGCAGACGTTTTTAGACGGGGGCGGAATAGCGGACGGACGAAAACGGACACTGACGCGCAGCTTTCGTGTCCGAGTCTTAAGGCATTGCAGGCGACGACAGATGGCGGTGTGGAATAGCAGACGATGCCGGAGGCTTCCGCTCGTCCGCTCGCATGACTAGCAGGCGGTGTCAGACTTCCAGACTGGACGCACCAAATGTCGGGAAAATGGAGACAATAGGCTTCCGAGCATGTTCGGCCGAGCAGCCGAGCCAATCCAGTAGTAATGGGCAGGGCCACTGATGAGTGGGCGGGGCTTAGAGCGGGCCGTAAATATTGCACCGAAAAGAAAAAAAAAGACAAGAAAAAAAAACTTCCTGCAGATTTTATGAAAAAAAAAATGCGTGTCCTAATAATGCCTTTTAAAGTTTTTTTTTTCTTTTTACTTTATAGTGTTTCTTTGTTGTATTTTTTTCTTAAGAACGCGGACCGATGGCGTCTGACTCTCGCATTCGAACGCCTGAGTGCCGTGGAGACTAATCCCTCCAATCAGAGCTTGGTGATCCCCTCTCCTCCTCTCCCTCACTTTCTCGACGCATCAAACAAGTTGGTGAGTGGCCAAGTTGCCGATCGCGTATTGACTGTCGGGGCGAATGATGATGGCGTTGCGGTTGATGGCTAGAGTTATTGCCAGAACACACGTCTTGGCTGGCAGTTCGTTCCCGAGAGGAGTGCCTTTTCATTTTTTCTCAGCCATTCTTCTTCATTGGTTTTTGCGAGTGTTCGCCGACATGGCGGTAAGGCCGCTGCAATCCATCCGAAATTGTTCGAACGAGGGGGAGAGCTGGCGACGAGGCGGACCTTGACTGGGTGCGCAGGCTGGCGTCGGTTGGAGCACGGTACTAACGTGGCGGCCGTGTGCCGGGAGAACCCGCTGGCCGACTGGACGGTCCGCTGCCACCACCCCCAGGGTCCCGCGGGCGTCCGCCACCGAGAGCCGTCCTCGGACCCCTAGCCGACAGAGGAGCGCCCGCAACCCGCCGAGGAAGCTGCCCCGCCTGCACAACGACCCGCGTGGCCTGCCGGTGGCCAGCGCGGCATCCGTTCGCCGGGTGTTCGGTCGGCGCCAGACTTGGTTCGCTCCGGGCCTACAAAACCCGACAGCCTCTTATGTTGCCCGAGCTGTAACACTTGGCCGCCTGGTGTGGACGCGTAAGGAACGACGTCAGCTCGCAGACGGGCGTTCGATCGATGACGTCGCAGAAATGAGCCTCGATTCAACGGCATGTCCGTGCGCCCAGTGATCGCTCCGAACGCTCTTTGACAGCCTCTCGTGAAAAGACGCTCCGTTTCACCGTGAACTGACAGCCCCAGCATCGATATTTCTTTTTATTTTTGCGAACCACCAAAATATGATCCTTAGGGATCGCGCTATACATTTTAAACTGCGTATTGCGGAGAAAAACATATCTTAAGAAGGCCTACCTCGAAACTCCCTCCCGAATCTTTAGAAGAGCGAACGGTTGAGAGGAGGTCGCCTCCTCTTCAGCGTTTGCTCTGCTCATAAGGAAAGAGCTGGGAAGAGCTTCCCAACCCTTGTCCCCGAGCTCGCGAAAGTGGAATTCTCGCAATGGGGGACCCTCCCCACTCCTCTTTTCCTCCTCCCCCCTCCAGTTCGCCTCCTGTTGTTTGGAGTGCCACCTCAAATTTCGTTTCGAAACTAACCGCCATTTAGACGGTGTGTTTCCAAACATATGCACCGCCTAGAATACACTGCAATTACCCTAGCAGCTGTCCGAAAAACGGTGGCGCATCGAACGACGGGAGGCGGACCGTGGGGTGAGGGCTACCAGCAGCGCCCATGGGCAGTTCCGTAACTGAGTTGACCTATAGCCGGTGACAGGTCAAGAACCAAGTGGAATCTGCTCCCACCTCTTTCCCCTTTAGTAGAGCGCTGGAGAGGAGGTGACCTCCTCTCCAGCGTTCGCTCTCCTCAAGTGGAAAGAGGTGGGAGGAGCTTCAACTTGGTTCTTGACCTGTCACGGGCTGTAGTAACGTTGACTCTTTGCCTCTTTGGTAATTTCAAGAAGGAAGTGTCGTTCAACATTTTCTCTCTCATTGATCACGGCAATCACTAGCGGCCGCGTCTGCCAACCGGCCAGACGCGCGCCTACTTCGCCGTCTGCTTGCCACGTTGTCTATCAGCCGCGTGCAGACGACGCGTCAATTTTTATTCTCATTTTTTTTCAATGCGAAAGCATTAACTGTTCCATGGAGAGAGCCGACGTCACCAGCTTTGAAGCCGCACCAACGGCACCTAAACTCCTTTCTCCAAGTGAAGCCGCGATCTGATGGCTCCCAGCTTTGAAGTCACGCGAAAAGCCTAGCCAAATGGCATGGATTTCGGCTTCGGTTCCATTGGCTGGCGCGCATCGTGGTTTCAAGGAAAGAGGCTCCCATTGGCCGCTGCGCGTCAGTCTCGACGACCGCCACCCTATGGCGCTGCGTGTCCGCGCCGCCAGCGCGCCGGTAACATGAAGCGACTGGCTGCCGAGCGAGGCAGCGGCGCCCAAGGTCAGAGCGGCGAGGAGAGCGCCGCTCCGACCTTTGTCTGCGCCGACGCAAGTACGCCGCAGACGAAATAAGGGAAACGACGTGCATGCTTTCGCATTCACAACTCATAAGAAGTGCTTAGGTGTACCTCGAGTCTTTCTTTCTTATAGACGCTTTCAGCGAGTTAGTTACTCGAGCTGCCACGAGTCGGCGCGCCCTTCGCGCGCTTTCCGGGCCGCCATAGCCGACCTTCAGTTCCTCGCCGTTGCTCCGCGTTGTGTGCTGCACAGACCCCTACCGGAGCTTTGTTTTCGTGTTCATTTACGTTCCGCGTTGAAATCTTGCACTTTCTTTGGGTCTTTTCGCTATTTAGAACTTTCATTTATTCATTTGATATTTATATTTCGACATAGCTCTTGTATTTTCTTCTTTATGGAATGGAATCGGTCAGCGAATGGGTCGACGATACTTATGAGGCTTCAATGACCATGTAAGTTCATCCCATTCTTACGTTTTTGTCGCTAATAAAGGGCAGTCAACACTATTGCGACATATGTAAATTGCAACTGACGCAGTAAGGCTATCGCAGTCGTGCTTCTCGCTGCATGTGCGCGTCGTTTCCGTAAAGCCGACCCGCATGTCAGCGATTTAGCGTGCGACAAGACGAGCGACGGAGATTTTTTTTTTTTTTTTTTTTTTTTTTACAAATACTGTCGCCTGTTGCATCGCTCGTTTTTTTTTTTTTTTTTTTTTTGGGGGGGGGGGGGGGGGGTTTAGAAAACGTCGCTCACCGTCTTGGTCGCTTGCTCCGTCACTTCCATGCGGTTTGCCTCGTCGCGCGACTGACTGAGCGACAGCAAAGCGGGTCGCCGTCGCTTATCTGGTCGCTCGCCAAATCGCTTACATGCGGTTTATACTCAATTATTTTCCATGCACACAGCAATGAACCATTGGCGCCTCGATATTAAGTATAAACCGCGTGCAAGCGATTCGGCGAGCAACGCGACAAGCGACGATGACCCCCTTCGCTGTCGCTCGGGCAGTCGCGCGACGAGGCAAACCGCATGGAAGCGACGGGAGCAAGCGACCAAGACGGTGAGCGACGTTTTCTAAAAACCCAAAAAACCGAGCGATGCAACAGGCGACAGTGAGAAGTCTTCGTCGTTGACTCTCGTCGTTGTCACCGTCGCTCGTCTCGTCGCACGCTAAATCGCTTACATGCGGGTCGGCTTTACGGAAACAAGCGCGCACATGCAGCGAGAAGCACGACTGGATAGCCTTACTGCGTCAGTTGAAATTTGCATATGTCGCAATGGTGTTGACTGCCTTTATTAGCGAGAAAAACTTTAGAATGGGATGAACTTACATCGTCTCTGAAGCCATAATCGTGTATCGCCGATCCGTTCGCTCTCCGATTCCATTTCATAAATAAGAAAATACAAGAGATATGTTGAAATATAGATATCAAATGATTAACTGAAAGCCCGAAATATCGAAAAGAACTAAAGAAAACGCACGATTTCAACGCGGAACGTAAAAGAACACGAAAACAAAGCTCCGGTAGGGGCCGGTGCAGCACACAACGCGGAGGAACGGCGAGAAACTGAAGGGCGGCTATGGCGGCAGGGTCACGTGACGCCAAGATGGCGGCGCCCATGAAATGTTGCCTGAAAGGGTCTATAGAAGCGTTCTAGTTAGGGAGTATCATACGATTTGTCAGTAGATACAAAGGAAAATGACGTGTTTCAGAATTTGATGACCGACACTAAGGATATATCATAAAGTTACCGATATCTCGACTAATGCTCTCTAGAAATTCGAGAGGTTATCCGGCATCGAAATATTCCTTTCAACGCCTCCGGTATAGGCGCCGAGCACCGCCATGTTCGAAATAAGGAAAGTGGCCGATGCCTCGTCATTCTACACTTCCGGGCTTGGAGTTTTTATATTTTCGACTCAGCAGCGTGGCGCGTTTGTACTTGTCGTAAAAAACATATTTGATGAAAATCCTTATTAATTCTTACAGACACGCCACTCGCTATCTCTAAACCTTTCGGAAAATGCCCTCGCCAATTACGTCATCAAAACAGGAAGCAAGGAGGAACCCGGTTTGGACGCGGATCTTGAACCAACTCTTTCTCGCACCAAGCATTTGTTTTTACGAATATTTGTTTGTTTGCTATATCACGTGTTTTCTAATCATTTGGAACTCTAAAAAGTATCAATGCAGGGGTTCTCAGCGTAACTCGGAGCGCTTCTAACGCCACGCGGACCGAGGCAATGGGGCTGGGCAAAGAGCGCGGGTCAGAGGGTACTTCGACGCGTATGCCAACTGATTTAGCGGAGAGTTTTAGTACATGGTGTTTTCAGGCCACGCTATTTGTATCGGGAGCTCGCGCTGCCACTTCGACGCATGCTCTGAAGCGCGCGCCCTTAGCGGTAGAGGGCCTTTGAAAACGATCTACTAAAACTCCCGAATGAAAGGCAAAAAATAGTTCTGATTTTAGTGTACTTCTGTTTTGCCCTTGGTTTCGCTTGAAGGTACGATGAAACGGAGTGTACACAACGAGGGAAAGAATGGTACAGTAAGGAGCGGCGACGCCAGGATGCACGGGTGTTTGGCCGCGTCCTCTGGTCGAGGCCTATTTGTCGCTCGGTGGCGGGTCCCGGTGACCTAATGCGCAGGCCTTGAGGCGGTGTCCACCACTTGCAGAGACCTTTTGTGCGCGAGCGTTCGTGCCAAGCTTCTCGGGGCGCTGCCGACTGTCCAGCACAACGGCCGGAGAGCGAGGCAGACCCCGTGTCCCGAGATTATGCGCTTCGCAGGCAGTGCTTTTTGTGCCAGTATTAGTCGGTACGTTCCTGCGTGCAGCGTCTGTAGGTTCTAGAGCTTCACGTCGTTCCAGAAGCTTTTCAGGGAAGACGCCTTTTTTTCGTTTAGTTCTTTTGTGTGTGTTTGTTTCGCGCAGAGTATTGACGCTGAAATAATAAAAAAAAAAGGTTCCAATTTTCTTTGAATGGTTTGTGAAAGGTGATCGCTGGCAGACGAGTTTGAGCAAACCGTGTTTGTAGACCCCTGCGGGCGCGCGTCGCTTCGAAGCTTGCTTCGAAATGGCGGCGCGAGCTTCTCATTTCTGCGAAAGGCAAAGACCACCTTAAAGCGCCTTCATGCTTTAAAATTAGCGCAGGGTGAGTCGGTGCACGAGCAGCCCTTGTGAAGATCATGGCGGCACAGCGCAGCACTGAGCTAGATTTCAGACTCCATGTTCTTCCCAGAAGTGGGGCGCGGCACGTGTCTCGAGCATTTCCACAACAATGAATGGCGCCACTTTTCCCAGGATACAGGGGTGTTTAAAGGGACCATGAAGGCAATTTAACTTGTTTTAAAAAAACGAAGGTGCTTTCGGAAGCATTGGGGTCATGGCATGCCACACAATTTTTTCTAGAACGTTGTGACTCTTATTTCTGTACCTGCAAATAAATTTGCGAAACCGAAACAAGCATTCAGATTTTTCCCTTTTCCGCCTCTGGAAAGAGAAGTGACGTCAGGGAGCACTGTCGGCATCGGTAGGATTTAGTGCACACTCAGTTTGGTTCCCGTGGTTCGCTCTAGTGCACGGCAGTCTGTGAAGAAAACCTGGAAGAGATGGACGACAACGCCGCGCTAGCAAACGAGTTTGAGCTGCCGTTCAGCGACCTCACGCCGACTGAACGGGAGATGCTGCTAAGGACGCAGAACTCTGGATTGGCGACCGATGCAGCAATGCTGCGCATTGCTGCATCGGTCTGCAGTTTATGCAAACTTACGTCGCCCGATCGACCGCACGTCTTTAGCCGACCTTTCGCGTAACCTACTACTGCACATAAACGCGGCATGATTGGTGAGACACCAGTTCGCAAAGCGAACACGAGACGACGCACAGAACCAAAACCAAGAGTCCGCCGCCCCCGGCGCTCGTACCTCTTTTTCTTTTTTTTTTTTTGTCCATGGTTGCTCGATGCTTGTTACGCACCCGAGGTAGCAGTGCGGGATGCGTTCAACCAGTGACAAACGGAGGGTTACGCCTTCAAAATAATGCTTTTATACACGGTATGAAACCTATGAATTCCCAACTACAACTTCAAAAGATTATCCAACGTTCAAATAAACTTTTTTCATCACATCTCACCACCGAAATCGAAACCAAGAGCGCGTCTATCCTTTGAACCATAGAGTTATTATAATGTACGCTAGAGGTTCAACTGGCGCTAGTGTGATGCTGCAAATTGAAGCAGACAGCAAGCAGTCCGAAATTGACTTCCGGTAATGCATTTCTATGGGAAAAAGCGAGTGCATTTT